AGCATGTCAGTTAAATGTCAGCACAGCCGTTAAAACAGATTTCAGGGGCCGGCGGGTGGTGTGGTGGAGGTGCTGGGCTCCCACGTGGCTGACCATAGTTCGATCCCAGACCCAGTCTTGCTCTCTCTCTCTCTCTCTCTCTCTCTCTCTCTGGTGAGTGCACATGCCCTATAGTAAATTAAAATAATAATAAATTCATAATTCTTTACAAAAAAGAGTAATGATTCCAGGGACCAGCAGGTGCGTGGTGGTTAAAGGCCCTGGATTCCCACATGGCTGACCTGGTTTCAACCGGATGGCTTGGAACTCAGGCTGGGCACACATGCGAATGAAGCCCCTGAGGGGCGATTTCTCACTTGCATGCGTGTGCACCCCAAATCCCAGGAGAATGAAGCCCCTGAGGGGCGATTTCTCACTTTTTCACTGTTTCTGGCGAGCACACATGCCGTGTGGCAAAAACCTTAGAAAACGAAAAACAACAACAACGACAAAACCTGATTTCAGGGCCTAGCCCAGACCTACTGCATCAGAACCTCTGATATAAACCCCCCACACCTGCATTTACCCAGGCGCCCCACAAAGGCCAGCTCTGTAATTAGCAAGGCCTAGTGCAAAATGAAAACGGAGAACACCTTGTGCAGAAATCATCGAGAATCCAAGGGCAGGACTAGACAGGCACCGGCGAGGCTCAGGCCAGGGGGAAGGCCCAGGTCTGCGCCCGAGGTCTCCGCTCACGCTGGGCACGCATCGGTGGCCCTGGCCGGGGTTGGCTCGACTGCGGCGGGAAGGCCTGCTGGGTGTCCCCCGCTCTCTCTCTAGCGGAAGAAATAACTTAGAAGAAGAAGAATTCCAAGGCAGCAGTGTCAGCATTAGCAGGCTGGGGCCCTGTCGCTGCCCAGGCCACTGAGCCTCTCCGAGTCAGCCTAGGATGTGCGACGAGGGCGGGAGGGGCGTGAGCTTAGGAGGAGCCGTAGGTGGGAGCTGGGAGTAGGAGAGGGGAAACCCCAAGCCTGCAGAGCCCATCCCTCTCTTTGCAAGCACAGCTAGGTGGTTTGTGAGAGAACCCTGCAGGGAGGCCCGGCTGCGCTGAGTCATCCGCAGAGCTGTGGGCCTCGGTGCAAAGGTGCAAAGAACAGCCCAGGCCACAGTGGGATCTGCAGCAGCTCCAGGTCAGTCGTCAATCAAGCACTATTGACTGTCTCTGGCCGAGCGGGGCGGTGGCCGGGAGATGCTGCGAGGCTGTGCCCCTGGGCCCAGGCAGCCGCTCTGAGATCTCTCTGCAGTCGCCCCTCTGAGATGCCGGCACTTCCCATCCGCGCTGCCTGGTCACCTGCCCTCCTGCAGCCATGGGCTCCTGCCTGCTCCCAGCCACTGGGCAAACCACGAAGGCGAAGCACTTGCAGGTCTGAGTTCTGCAGTGGAGGCCGGCTTCAGCGCCACCAAACCGAAGTCTCAAACCATCAAAGCACACTGCTCGAACTGGCCCGGTGGCCCAGAGGTTAAGTTGCAGAGAGTACCCACAAGGCCAGCCGTGGTTCGAATCACAGCCCTGGTGGCTTGAAAAGCAATCTGTGTGTGTGTGTGTGTGTGTGTGTGTACGTGCCCCAAATCCTGACAGGAGGGAGAAATGGGGGAGAAGGGATTGTGGCCCGTCCATGCCCCATGGGGAGTGCTTTCTCCTTCTCCCACTCTGTCTCTTATCTCTGTATCTCTCTCAAGAGAGCACACGTGCCCCCAGACAAACCAAAAACATAATTCTCGTACAGCGTGGGCCCTGTCGCTCTCACTAACTCGTCGCTGACGGGGCCAGCATGACACACTGATTCGAAAGGAGGTGAGAACTACCGTTGCCATGGCTCACTGTCCGTCGTCCATGAAGAACGCTAGAGTGCTCGGTCAGGGCGCGTGGCCCCGCGGTCAGTGCCGCCCGACCTGGGGCTTCTCTTCCCTCCCCAGTAGAAGTTACTGCATCTCACCGTGCCCTCCGCTCAGAGGCTCTGGGACCTCGTCTGTCGTTCATAGCGTGTTGGTCGAAGGCCCGCTCTCCGGGAGCCCTGCACTGCAGGGGCCCTTTCTGCCGGACACCCTGGCGACTGGGCACTAGGCTGTGGCTAGTGCGACCAAGAGGCTCATTCCTTTTTTCTCCAGGGGGCACGTGCATGTGCGTGAGAAAGAGAGACCGAGAACTCCCCGCCCCGATTCCCCATCCTGTCAGAATTCTGGCCATGGGTGTGCTTGGGTATTTTCAGACCAACAGGGCGGGGAGTCCAACCTAGGTCTCTTCCCCTTCATGGCACCACATGGGTGTACTTGGGTATTTTCAGACCAGCAGGGCGGGGACTCCAACCTAGGTCTCTTCCCCTTCATGGCACCTAACCGCTGTGCTCCAGAGCTGGCCCGGGACTTTTTTTCTGGGAGGATTTTTGCTTATAGGGCTTGTGTGCTCACTGGAGACACAGAGAGACAGAGAGGCAGAGCTAGAAATCACCCCCCCACCACCACCACCACCAGGAGATGGCCACGCTGCAATCCCTTTTCCTCCATTCTCCTCTCGGGATCTTGGGCACACACGTACACGCGCCCAGTGTGAGTTTTAAGCCACCAGGTCCAGGACTCAAACCATGGTCGACTACATGGGAGTCCAGCGACATAGCCATTACGCTAACTGCTGATCCCGGGGATAGATAACGTTTTCTAATGTTCTGATACAGGACAGTCAAAGAGAATAGGGGGCTGGCAGGTGGCGTGGTGGTTAAGGGCTCTGGACTCACGTGGCCAACCCTGGTTTGCGTCCCAGACCTGGCGGCTTACATCCGCACTCTCTCTCCAATCACTCTCCCTCTCTCGCTCTGTCCCTCTCTGGTCAAATTCAAGTAGATAAATGAATAAATCAAGTTAAATAAAATAATTCTTTAAAGTAAAAAGAATGACAGGTGTTCACCACTGGGGGTGTTTTGGAAGCATCACCTACATGTTGTCATGAGACTGGGATATTTGGGGGCCTCATAGCCTGGTGGGGGACTGGGGCAGAAATTCCCCCAAGAGTAAGAATGAGAAGCCCAACCCCAAGTGACAAATCCGACCTACCCGCACCCCATCTGTGTGGGCTTGCCCAGACAATACGGGCTCTTTGGTCCTCGTTGCCCCACAGATAAGATGGAGGTGAGGACACGGGGTGACTCAGGATCAGGGGCTCTTCACTGGAGCTTGCATGCGTCAGAATCCCCCACAGGGCCGGCTGCATAGCGCTGGCTCTGCCCCCGGACGTCTATCTGATCTAGCAGTGCTGGCGGGCCCACGGATGTGCATTTGTGGAACGTTGCCAAGAGACGCTGCTCCGACCCAGAGACCACGCTCGGAGACCCATTAGATCTTATGATCTGCAGGAATCTGTGCCAGCTTCGGACTCAGCACCCATTCAAGATGATGGAATCTTGGGACCTGGGGAAGGAGAAAGGCCCTGGGCCATCCGGTGGGGTGGTGGTGAAGGTGGCTGGATCCCACATGACTGACTGTATGGTTCGAGTCCCAGACCCGGCAACTTGAAAAACATGTTGGGCTTGTGTGTGTACCCCAGATCTCTAGAGGAGCATGGAGGAGGAGGGATTACAGCATGGCCACCCCAGCAGGGGATGCTTTCTCATGCTTCCCTCTCTGCCTCTCTTCTGTGAGTGCATGCACCCTGGAGCAACATCTTTAGAGAGACGAAAGAGCCTGATGAAATGGAACAGGACGAGCAGGGCCTGCATACCCAGTGGGGAATTGGTGCCTGGAAGACCCAGGGAGGAGCAGACTGGGGAGGGTGGAGCAGCGTGAGGCGGAATCCGGATTCCACCACTTAGTGGTGTGGCCTCAAGCAAGTGACTAAATGACTTTCTGCCTCAGTTCCCCCACCTTCACAAAGAAGGCAGTGGCATGGTGGCTAAGGCAGTTAATGACCACGGTTTGAATCCCGGACCTGGCGGCTTGCTGTCTCACTTTCCTTTTCTCTCTCTTTCTTTCAGTTCTTTTGAAAATAAAAAGAAGAAGAAGGGAAAGATAGCACTTCCATGACCTGGCATTAAGAAAATGCTTGGCAGGTGGCATGGTGGTTAAGGTGCTGGACTCCCACATAGCCGACTCTGGTTCGAGTCCCGGATCTGGTGGCTTGCTTTCTCACTTTCTTTCTCGCTCTCTCTCTCTTGTCAAATTAAATAATAATAGTGAATAAAATGAAATAAATACATATATATATTAAAGAAAATGCTGGCTAAATGGCTGTCGCTGCTGGGATTAGTGTCCGTTACTGGGTCTGTGCAGGGGGAGGTTGCAGTGACAGAAATCCAGAGTCTTCACAAAGCTCATGAAAAACGATTATCACACAAAGCCTATGTGTGGGACCAGCAGATGGTGTAGTGGTTAGGTCACTGGATTCCCACATGGCCAACCATGGTTCAAGTCCCAGATCTGGTGGCTTGAAAATTACGCTGGACACAAGTGCGTGCGTGCCTAAGATCCCGAGAGGAGAACGGAGGGGAAGGGATTGCGGCGTGGCCATCCCCCCAGGGGTGATTTGGTTTCTTTCCTCTCACTGTCTCTGACAAGTGTACTCACCCTAACACAAAAACCTCTATTTAAAAAAACAAAAAACAAAAACCCCATGTGTGGATTTCTGAAATTTTCTGCAGCAAAATAAATGTACCCCCATTCCATTAGCCACGAAACATCTGCGTCCCCGCACAGTACCTGTTGCTAGAGCGTGTCCCGGGCACCCTCAGCCACAACATCCGTCATTCCAGCCCGCTCACAAAATCCAAAACAGTCAAGAAAACAATTCAAAATAATTTATTATATAGCTTCTGAGGGCTCTTCCAAGGAACACGAACAATTATTAGTACAATAAATATCAATAAATTAACATGCGACCCCCGCCTGCCTCCAGAGGGCAGGAGGAGAATAAATTAAGATGGAAATCCATGGAATAGCGCAGGAGAAAGACCAGACGAATAACAATGGCGTCATCTTTTAAAGTTAATTCATAAACTTAACTCTCCCAGGGCTGGCCCCTCTGAGGAGCTGCTGGGATTACTCACGGGATAATTTCCTTAATAACCCACAGCAGAGCTCCGCAGCTGCCGGTCACCTGGCAGCTGGTAAGGCGTCGTGCAATTGCCATTCCGAAGGGCGCGCCCACCGGACGGCCTTACGCGGCCCGCTGGGGTCTGGAGTTCAGAGACTGTAAAGCGAGGCCCATGCAGCTTGCCAGCTCCTGTAAGAGAGTCAGGGTGAAGGACTTCTGGGGAAAGCTGGCTGTGGGCACAACAACGTTCACTTCGGGCACATTTCGAGACTTGAGCTTGCTGAGCTGGTGGATGATGGTTCTAATCTCCGTCTTGTTATCTGCGAATGGCTCCATGGCCTTGAAGTACGCCTGGATGGCTGCGGCGTTGATGTTGTCTGGGGCGTGGCGGTCAGACATGAAGCAGGGTGGCTTGTATTCTTCGGATATCTGCATCCCCCTCTCTCTGCGCCTCTGTGGAAGGAAGCCGAGCAAGGGCGAGCTTAGCAGCGAACGCTCGAGTGCTTCCTCTGTGACCTGCCTGGTCACATCAGAGCTGGTCGGGGCAGCCACCCTGGAGGCTGTGGCCATCGCTATCCTATTTCCAGAAGGACCGAGCGCTCAGCTGGTTTGCGGAGCCGGCCCAAGATCAAGCGCAGACCCAGCATCGCAGCCCAGGCCTGGCAAGTTCTGAAGCCTGTGCTTGTCACCACTGCCCTGTCCTGCTTGTCTACCCCACCTAGCCGAGGCCTCCAACGCCTTTGGGGACCTGCCTGCAGGTACTCGGGGAGGTGGGGCCGAGAGCACCCCGGGCGTTCATTATCTGTGACTCTGCAGATGTCTCTAGGGAGAGTTTTCCAGACAAGGACTCCAGACCACTCCCACCCCTTCCGCTGTCCACAGGACTAGCAGCTTTTGGGTTAGACCATCTAGGTAAGAGCCCTCGGGGACCCCAGCTACGTAGGTAACAGCCTCTGCCTTTGCGTCCTGGAGCCCAGGCCCGAGGTGAAAGCCAGGGTGATGAATGGGGAGGTGACGCCAACCTCACGGTCATCTCTCAGGTTCTGGTGTTTATTCATTTCACCGATGCAGCTAAGAGGTCCCAGCTGGGTCACAGCGCGGAGAAAACACAAGTGCCCGTGGGCGTTACTCCGCCAGGTCAGGCCCGCCATTGTGCCAACCCCGCCATGCACACGGGTGCCGACCAGCCGGTCGCCCTCTGGCAGGAGACCCTCGCCCACCGGTGCGGGGCTTCAGGGCCCTGCAGATGCAGGGGCGTCCTTCACAGCTTAGACTGGCGGCCCCTTAGAGGGCTCCTGAGGGCAAGATGGCGCCTGTCTACGGCTGCCTCTCAGGCCAGAAACGCATTGAACCGAACCGTGAACCAGACGGGTCTGGGCCAAAGTCGCATAAGCAGCAGCCCCTGCAGCGTGCTGAGAAATCACAGGCTTCCTGGTGGCTCGGAGCCCACCTCTGCCTCTGACCCTAGTGCATCTTCACCCTCAAAGACCCCACCATCGGGGCCAGTGGGGACGTGACGGTGCTAGACCACCCATATGACCCACTGGGATTTGAGTCCCGGCCCTGGCGGCTCGCTTCCTCACTCCCCGCTCCCCGGAGAGCACGTGTGCCCCATACCACATTAAAACAATAACAAATAAAAAAGCTAAAATAATTAAAAAAAAAAAAAAAGATCCCACCCCAGCCTGTACAGATAGATGCTCCCATCCCATCTTGCCACCCCCACCCCCTCTTCTTCTGGGGGCCAGAGGAAGGCATGTGTAAGAGATGGCGTAGAGACAAAGCCTCCGGGCACTTACGAAGTCGTCCAGAAGCATATTAGAAAGGGACCGCAACTCCACCATCGTCTTCTTCAGGTCCTTCCGTGGGAGCGGACGGATGGGGGACATGTGGGAGGACAGCCAGGTTCCCAAGCAGCAGAGCAGGAACAGGGCAGACTTCGTGGGTCCTGGGGAAGGAGACCAAGCTGTGAGGCCCCTGGGCCAGCCCGCCCCAGCCCGCCCAGCCGCAGCCACCGCACCCGGGTGAGCAGCCGAGCAGGCCTCCTCCCCGCTGAGACAAGACCGTGCCTGGGTGCAGGGGGCAGCCGGGCTGGTACCTGTACGAGAGCCCATGGCGAGAGAGCGGGGCCTGAGTCCCTGCAGCTGCCGGGGCCAGATGTGCTCGCCATGCCGCTGCCCGGAGGTATATAAAGGGCCGGCGTGACGAGGAGCAGCCAACGTCCCACCCATGGCGAAACCATTGCGCAGCTTTTCTCCAGAACACACTTTCAGAATTTTGCTGGCCAAAGCTGGGGGAAAGTAACCCTGGAAGGAAGTGTGAGGTTACCCTCAGGTAGGCAGATGCCTGAGTCAGGGCGCACAGCGGAAGGCGCACACGCATCTTTGCCGTTTCTTCTTGGAAAGAGTTTTTGATTTGACTGGAAGAAATTCTCAAGTCCAGTTAACAGGCACAACCACCAAGGAACGGGTGACTTCTGGAAGCTGAGGGTCAGCGTCCCCACCCCCAACCCCGGGATTTCTGGGGACGTAGGGCCTGACATCTGCAGGCTGTTATCTTTGCAGATTTCTGAAGCGTGCCTCTGCCAGGGCGCGGGGACAGCCCCGAGCCCCGCCGTGAACGTGGTGAGTCAAAGGCTTTATGCCCGCTCCCTGTGACCCTGAAGGACTCTCCATGTGTCTTGGCAACCCCAGGCTAGGACCGGAAGTCATGCTCAACAGTCTTGTTTATTTATTTTTTACTTTTTAGTTTTTGCTATAGGGCACGTGTGCTCACCCAAGACAGAAAAAGACAGAAAGAGAAGGAAAGTGAACACTGTCCAGGGGGGATGGCCACACCACAATCCCTTCTCGTCCATTTTCCTCTCGGGATTTAAGGCACACACCAGCATGAATTTCAAACTGCCAGCTCTGGGACTTGAACTGCATTACTGGCCATGTGGGATCCAGGGCCGTAACCACCACACCACTAGCTGGTCCTACAATTTTAAAATCCAGGAAAGCATCAGACAATAATAAGAGTTACAAAATTAAAACAAGGTGGGCTGGCCCCTCGCACAGTGGTTAAGCGCTGTGCACAAGGGAGCACGATTCCATGAGGCTGAACTAGGATTCGAATCCTGGCTCTGACAGTTTAAAGAACACACTGGATGCACACGTGCCCCAAATCCTGGTGGGATGAAGAATTGGAGGAAGGGGAACTGGTGTGCCCACACCCTGCTGTAGGGTGCCTTCTCCCTCTCCCTCCCTCCCTCTCTCCCTAGTGAGACACGCCCTGAGACTAAAAGGGCTAGAGAGGAACAGGTGAGGTGCTTGAAGTCAGGAGGTCAGACAAGTCTCTCTGGAGGTGACACTGAAGCTGAGACCTAAAAGATAAGAAGGAGCAGCCGTGGACAGCCTGGGGCCCATGTTCGAACCAGAGGGGACACGAGTGTGAAAGTCCTCGGGCAAAATTGAATTCCATGCTCTTACAAGAGCAGGAAGAAGGTTACAGAGAAGGCAGAGCGAAGGGGAGGGCAGTGGCCAGATCAGAGGGCTGCAGGGCCACAGTAAAGAACTCAGGTTGTGGGCCAGAGGTGGCATGGTGGTTAAGGCGCTGGACTCCTGCATGGCTGACTGCAGTTCAAGTCCCAGACCTGGCAGCTTGCTTTCTCACTCTCTGTCTCTCTCTGGCGAATGCACATGCCCTACAGCAAATTTTAAAATAATAATAATTGGGGCCAGCAGGTGGCATAGTAGTTAAAGAGCTGGACTCCCATGTGACCGACTGCAGTTCGAGTCCTGGACCTGGTGGCTTGCTCTCTCACTTTTTTTTTTTTGGGGAGAGGTTTTTGCTATAGGGCGCGTGCGCTCGCCAGACAGACGGA